AGCCGAAGGAGAATCTAGACATGAGATTATGGTGCAATTGTGAATGAAATGGGGTTATACTACCTTCACTTTCTCCGGTCCAAAAGCATGACATCCTCGGGCTCCCCGAATGACTCGCCCGGTCCAATTGTTCCAAGGACCAGGTTGTTGATCAAGGATGTACCAGACAACCACGATGACGATGACGACATTGCTTCGACTCCAAGGAGTAGTGTGAGGATGGAAGAAGTCGATTCGTTGGACGACGAAGCAGGTGAGTCCACGTTTTCCAGTTAAATGATAGCCAACCCACCTTCGTGAAGGTTCCAAGCCATATGCGACGATTAAACCAGTGACACCGACAGCCTCTAACTCATCTAATGTACCAACTCCCGCCCTGAATTCGACACAGTCTACGACACCTCAGATGAACACTACCACAACCGGGAATGGGTCTGGGTATCCATTCCCGGATGGGGTGAACAATTTGCCCGGGGGAGCATTCATTCCACCCGGAGATGCCCTGAGAATGCTCCAGTGGCTCCAGCAGAATCAAATATTCATCCCTGGTTACCATCCGATGGATCCGAACGCCAATACAGGGACTCTCACAACCCTCCCCAACAATGCAAACATGTTCAACCCATCTGCATTAACTCATGCATTCAACAACGTTCACATGAATGGGCAAGACGTTTACGATGCTCCTAGGATGACCTCGGCCTCCAACAACGTAAATCAGTCGCAATGGACAAACCCGTACAGGCAATCCACCGTCCCTTCTCATCCAGCCATGGAGTCATCGATTGCACCTACGTACCCTAACTCTAATCAATTTCTCAATACCCTATTGCCTTTGGCATCCATGGCAAACGAACCACCACCTCCTGTAAACATGACAGAAGTGTCAAGGAATTCGGATAAGCTGGATCAGTTATCAAACAATGTTCAAGCTATGGAACAGGGCATCGACTCACTCATCGAAGGCATAGGGCTTGACCCCCTCTCCGCTGCCTCACTAAGGGCTGAACAAGCCAATGCGGCACTTCCCAATAATTCTGGCGTAGATATGCACGCTCCATCTGCGATAAATTCGCAGATGAATGTCAATTTGGGAGGTCAACCCCAAATGGGAGCGGGAGACGGGGGCGACTTTACATCCGGGATGAGTGACTTTGACCTTGATACATTACTGAAACAACTGGGTGTAGCTGCAGCTGCCAGTACTCCTCCTGCCATTCCATTTACCGATAACTTCCACCCCTCCACCGGCCTGGGCGACCCTTATGACCCTAATTTATTTAATGAGGTAAACGTCGGCTCATATGGGCCTGAACGTCCGATTCAAGGTCAGGGATTCTAAACAATAAAGTTACACTCTACAGTATATTAACGTTTCCTCTCGATTTGCTAGACTCATCCTCGACTTTCCTCAATGAAAATGCGTCCACCTTGATGCCAACCGAACCATCCTCTGAACCCCATTCGGCTTTCAACACAATGGAAGATGTTAGGAATATTCGCGACAGAGGGACGAAACGTAAATCAGAAGCTGTCTCAGATGATGGTATCAATCCTACTGGGTCTTCGACAGTTCCTGGCGATACCAATTCTGGCACAACCACACCCAAAGCTCAGGTCAAGGTGGGATCCAACCGCGCTTCGAAGCGGAGAAAGTGAAGGTAGTATAACCCCATTTCATTCACAATTGCACCATAATCTCATGTCTAGATTCTCCTTCGGCT